ATTCAGCAATAGTGGATCCAGGTAACTCTTAAGTAATTCTTGAAGTCCTATTATTTTTCGAAAGACATAGAGATATTTCACTATTTTGGGGGGAGAGGGAGCGGACTTTATCCCGAAAGTCACACGCCTGTGGTATTCAGGTAATATATCCATATATACATATATACATATTAGGGCAGTAAAGGACTTCCGTGGGAGTCTTGAGCCAACGAATGGAGAAAAAAAAATTTATATATATATATATATATATATATATATATATATATATATAGTTTAATTAACCACGAGTAAGTATAATTGTTTTGTTAAGTAAAATAGATGTTCGTAATTTTCTATCCTTAATGAATATATTTAGACTCACCTCAGTGGAAAAAGTATTCAAGCCATTTCTGTAGACTTAAATCACCTCATCTTTCACCAGTTTTGTCCCTATCTTTTCTTATTGAAAGATCTAACAAACGTTATTGACATGAATTTACGGAAGATAGTTAAACAGTATTAATCAGAATATTGCTTTCTTTAAAATAACAAAACAATAGCTTAACGCGATATCAATATTTAAAGCTCACCATTGATACTAATAAATGAAAATGAGTTTGGCGGTTTATCGAAATCGCTTGTTTTAATCGACAACTAATCAATAACAAATCGATCTTTTTTTGCATCAAGGAGGTAAATATAATAGTACACAACAAATTCGCTATATTGTATTTTCAAACATACAGTTCGAAAAAAAATAAATATTTTTCGATATAAAGATCGCTGAACTTCATACCCAGAACTGAAACGGCTAAAAATTGAAGTGGGGGTGGGGAAAAGTAAGAATACTTATGTCTTTAAATCTATTTATATTGTATTGATACTTTCTCAGATATTCCCATTTGTTTATTTATTTATGTACTTTGGATATTTACCATTTCAGTGTTTATAAATTTATACAGCCCCATGACTTTTGTGATTGATTTATTGTTTGACAAAATCAATAGTAAAAATAAATAAACACACATCTTAGAGGTGAGGTGTTATGATTAAAGATAACATTAATTTAAATATTTCAGGACATTCCCTTGTCATCATGACACTGTGTTCAATTAAGTAGAAAAAACATAGTAATTTATGTTAAATTTTAAAAATGAATGGTATTATTGGCATCAATCACCACACAAGTGAAACTTAGTTTCAATTGAAATGTAAAGTGCAGATAGAATGTGTCATTCAGCAATTCAATTAGAGAACAGTTTTGTATTCAACAAGCTTTACACCCGTCTTTCTGCTAAAAATTAAGAACAGTATTATAATCTATAAAAAAGAAGTGTTAAACGTTTGAACTCTAGCATCCCAGTCTGTACTAGTTTACTGGTCAGTATATTATGGACTACACCAAGGAGACTAGCTACAATACACAAGATTTTAGATTTGATTTTCAATAACTTAATCGGTTTAAATTCATGTCATTTTACTCTATCTTAACGTTCTTTGTATTAGGTGACATGAAACTGATCTTATCTAAAGTAGTGTTTGACTGAACAAAGCAGATTAGGGTGGCTCTGACATGGCCAGCTGAACTTGTTCCATGGTCTAAGAATCTAATAGTTTTTTTTTACCATGTTCCAGAGGGACACCCAACATCTTTAATCAGAAGGCTCCACGGGCGGATCTACGGGGAGAGGGGGGGGCTTTCGGGCTGAAGCCCCCCTCCCCTCAAGATGGTAAAATATAACGATGTTTTATGGAAAAAAATATTTAAAAATTATCTCTTAAAGTATTATTGTTCCTGTAATTACATTTAAAAGGACTTAAGGAATCACTTAAACAACATTCCATGTAGATAGCTACTTTCTTTCTTTTTTCCAAAGTAAATATCGTCATTTTTATCAAAAAAAAAAGTTTTCGGGCTGAAGCCCCCTCCCCCCCCAAAATTAAATTCTGGATCCGCTAGTGGAAGGCTCTCTGGTAAAATCTCTATTAAAAAATGAAAAACTTTTTCCAACAGCAAAACAAAATGGAATTGGTGACTTGAGCAATGCTGGGAGTAATTATTTCCTCAATTACTTATTTCGATATACAACTGTTGTAATTCAATGCAAGAAAAGTTAGGTGTGAAGTTCTCATACAAACTGCTAGATAGTGTCAATCCTCATATGAAAATTTACGTATGAGTAAGTATGTGTGTGTATATATATATATATATATATATATATATATATATATATATATATATATATATATATATATATAATTTCCTTTTGCACATAAATTATATTTAGTTTTTCTTGTACTTTTAATGATTGTAACTTAGTTTTTCATTTATATCTTATGTAGGTTTTTTATGAGATTTTTCTTACTGTAAAAAATGAATTTCAATTTTCTAAGTAGTATTCAAACAACGTAACTTATCAGTATGACATGTTGTAATGTATATAAATACAAAAAAAAATACCCCTTAACTTTCATGGTGACTAAAATAAGCATAAAGCTACAAAAGAGAGGTAAGATGACTGATATAAATAGAAAAAGCCAAACTACAAAGCCATGAGTCTCCAATACATTACTTATAAGCATTAACAAAAAAATCAATATTTTAATTAAAAAACGAAAATTAAAGAGAAAGAAATGAAGAATGACCATCTGCTAGGGATGCTTCTTGGATAATGAAATAAATAACCTCTGAGTATTGTTATTCCAGCATAAAGTATGTATGAAATACTTGAAAAAAAAAAATCCACAAGAGTAAGTATTATTTATATATTTCTATTCAAATTTTTATGTATTTTCAGTTGATTTAAATTAGTAGTTATTTATTCAAGAAAAACTTTAATAACATATTAAAAAACATGTCTCAAAAATTCTAAATATCAAATAATTAGAAAAATTTATTCTAAAAACCTACATTTAATTTAAATAACTGGAAAATTACCTAACCAGTATTTATTCACAAAATATAAATCATGGTTCATCATATACAGATAAGTAGTTTTATGATTCAAGTCAACAATTTGCAACTGAATCGAAAACTATTGTTAATTGTTGTAATACATAGATCAACTGGGTCTGCCCGCTCACTATGACCATTCTGGTCATTTTACTCCAACATGCTTGCTATAAATGGTTCCAATACAATCTTGGAAGTTTTATTTAAGAAAAATACCATTCAAGATTTCATACCAGTTGTAACAGCTATTGCTATGTAGTCTCATTTCAATTGTCAAATAAAGAACCACAAATGTTGACTCCAATTGTCCTCAAATATGCCATTAAATGTTTTCTAGAGATATTTGTTTATATCAAACATTCATTTATATATTATATATTTATCTCTAGTTATTATTTCTACAGTGAAAGTAGTGACGAAAAGACGGAACAATTAAATAATGTGTTTCTTTACTTGTACCCAGGCTCCTAATAATTATAAAAACTCACTAGTCAATAAGAACTTGGTTTTCTCCTCTGGTAAAGTATTACTCTTACTTTCACTTAACCAATGAAAGTATTAAAATAATCAATAAATTTTACTTTGAATACTATGCAAAAAGTATGCTAACTAGCAAATCTATAAATTAGATCTTTTAAAATTATTTCATCTGGTGCAAGGGTCCATCCAAGTCCTGCGGGCCACAGCTTGTGATGAAACAAAAACCTTGTTCTGTAAAAGAATCTTCAGTTGTGAAATGAGATTTATAACAGAAAAACACCAAGCAATAAATGTTTTAGTAACCTCTAATATGAGTAATTTGCTATATTACTTTAAAAAATATGTTTTTTAAAAGTTTACTACGTAATCAAAGAAATGTCCACGAGCGGGATTGGAAGTGTCTGTTTGGAGAACCCTGATCTAGTGAGTATAATAGGAATAAAATTGATTTATATACTTTTTTTTAATTTTTAAAAATAACAACTTTATAGATTAGTTTTTTACTAGTAGGCCCGTGCGAAAAATTCTGGGTTAATTGGTGGCTCAATCTTGAGATTTGGTGCAAAAATTAACGATGATATGGCTTGCCGATAAAAAACACCACTGATAAATAATATAAACTCCTCCTATCTCGATCATAGAGACCTCAAGTCGACGACATGAGACATGTATTCAATGACAGTACTACAATTAATGTAAGATTGTGTGGATGCGAACCCTATACATTGCGTTATCTCAAAAATAGTACGTTTTTGGGCTTAAAATGCAGGATCCGATAGTTCCGGGTCAACTATCCGGGTCTTGCTGTACGCATCAAAATCTTCAAGATCCCACAAAAGTAAAACAAAAGTCCCAATAGCAATATAACATTAAAAAAAAAAACACAGCTCCTAAAACAAGATAAAATATAACAACTTTCCAACAAAAAAGAGAATATTTCAAACAGGGAAAAATTAAGTAGACAAATACAGTCTTGATAATTTCAAAACTAAATAAATATTAAAATAAATTTTTTATTAATAAGTATAACAAAAACTTTATTAACTTGTATCACATATGGCAAATTGTAGTCAAAAGGGCATTAATTCAAAACGCAATGCAACGTTTACATTTAAAACAACAATATTTCGAAGTGACATCATTGACAACCTTAGTAATGGACGTATAGTGTCCATACTTCCCTCTTCAACCTTTTTATTATCAAAGAACCTCCTCTGTAATTTTTCTTCATTGTTGGTTTTCGACTTTTTAATATTTAAATTTATTTATTTTTAACTTCACACCAAAATTAATGGACGGTTCTAAAAGAATCTGCAATAGTGGTTAAAAAAAAAAAAAAAGAAAACAGGTGTATAAAGTCTTTCACATAAAACAGCAGATCAATAACAATATTCTTGCTTTTTATTTTTTCCATTTTTTTTTTTCAGTTAAAGTGAAAAATAAATATATTTTTAAAACTCTCCCAATTTGATTATGAATTTCAATAGCTTTTTTCAAATGCTGAAAATATTTCCAGACTACATATGACAGTAAACTCTTCAATTAACTTTTACCTTAGATGTAACTTCACATCTACAAACTGGACAAGTGGACAAGTTGTAAAAATTTGTTCCTTACCCTAAATATTTACAAGAAAACTCTGAGAATAAGTGTATCTGATTCAATCTGACAATTAGTTTTTAGATTTGTGCGACTATTTTATAAATTTTGAACCTTTTTGATCATTTCCAAAAACTTAGTAAAAAGTTAGTACATTTCATGACCTGGGGTTCTTTTTTTTTTCTGGAGCTTTGTGCTTCGATCACTCACTGCTTAATTTACCCTCGTCTTGACTATAATACAAAGTAAAATAAGACATTAAATATTATCATACAAAAATTTTAGAATACTAAATTCAAAAATATAAAATTATTATGTCTAAACTCTTTAAAGAAAACTAATACTTTTTAAAAATGATATTTTTAATTTAAAAATTAATTTTTACAATTATTTAAATAGAAAAGGGGTGGTTATAAATGTCAATTTAAATTCTGTCCATTTTTTTTTTAAATAATTCAATTATTGTTTTAACAGTACTTTTGAATTCTAAAAATAACTACAACCTTTAAGTACAGATAAAAAACAACATTGGAAGACAATATCAAATGTTAAGTACATAAAAAAAAATTCCCTTGGAGAAAAATAACTATTCTCATCATTCAATTGCTTATGAGTCTAATAAAAAAGAAATACTTAACTGGTGATGATAAAATATTCAAGTCCTTGAACCAACTTGAACAAGTTGCCAAAGGAAAAAAAAGTTTGATTATGTTATCAATAAATTATTTTGATAAATAGTGTTAGTCGACAATGAATATACTGTCATTACACAGCCTAGAAGAGAGTTTGAGGGCAAAGACCAAGCTCATTGTTATCATCAACATCTGTAATAATTTTTGCAGGTATGATGAGACCTTGACTGAATTGACCATTCTTCGAAGTGGCTTCAGGACCACGGAGGGCGTGCTCTCTGATGAAGTTCCTGACTCCACGTTTGTCTGGAGAGGTCAACAGCATAGCCCAACCCCATGTCAGCAAAGCCATTGGCTGTAAATAAAAATTAAAATGTTTAAAGCATGTAAAATGTGTAATTTTTTATACCTGAAAGCTAATTTTACATTAAAGTTTGATAATACTCCAGTATATCGGCCTCTGACCTGTAGAACATCAAAATCACAACTATCTATATGAGATAAAATCTATGCTGCTTGCCATAAATCACTAGCAGATCCAGGATTTAATTTTGGGGGAGGGGCTTCAGCCTAGAAGCTTTTTTTTCATATATATAACGATAATTACATTGGAAAAACAGAAAGATACTAACTACCTATATGAAATGGTGTTTAAGTAATTTTTAAAGCCCTATTAAATGTAATTAAATGGGCAATAATACTTTAAGACATAATTTTTTTATATTTTTTACCATAAAACATGGTTACATTTTATCATTTTGGGGGGGGGAGGGCTTCAGCCCGAAAGCCCCTCTCCCCCATAAATTGGTGTGTTGCAAACAAAAGGGAGTTGTGGTCATGGGATTGGCAAATTTAATGGAACGGTTTTTTATGATACTAGGTCAACAAAATTAACCCCTGTCTGATGGATCTTGCCGATGTGCCTTAGAAGCTAAGAAAAAAATATATACACTTTTTTATGGTATTCTACTTTTGATCTGCATAGATTTCTTGATAATTATATCACAATACATTGTTTTATTTTGAAAAATAAGGGAAAAAATGCTGATAATGATGCTTTCTGTAAAATTGGCCAACTTAATTTTTGTTAGGAAATAGGAAGTAAGATACTTTCCTAGCGCCCTTTAAAAATCTTAAACACAAATTTTTATTGGAATTAAAAAATATACAAAATATTGAACTTGATTTAGTTGGGGAACTTTTTCCCCTGTTATTTACTACACGCAATTATTATTCCTTAGGATTTTCTCCAAATTTAACATTACTGCAACATTTGGAAAACTGAATCACTGCTCTTTCAATCCACATCAATAGCTTTTAGATTTTAAGCCATTTTCAGAAATAAACAAGAAAAACTCTCTAATGTTTTTATTTTATATGTCCAGTTCAAATTGGTTGACAAGAGACTGATTTGTGTCATTTTGCATAGTTTACTGAACTCTAAATTCCTGTTATGTTCAGTATGGATAGGTGGAGTTTGGTTGAAGTTATCACAAATTTGTTGCTTTTTAAAATTATATTGAAATTTTTCATCATGTCACTGATTAAAAATATTGTTTAGGGTTGATCACCCTCCCGCCTTCATGGGGTATATGCACAAGACCAGCCAAATAGGTAACACTGTGCGAAGATGGCGCAGTCTGCACTAAAAACTAGTAGTAAGAAGAAAATGGGCGACTGAAACCAGAAGTAAACGAATTCTCTAGCCTCTTCAAGACTACCATTCATACTCTGTTCTCATGGGAATAGGCATGGAGTAGAACAGAGACTTACTGGACCCATGGAGGTGAGAAATTATTGCAGCCAGCCGACCACCGATACCACCACCGTACCTCAGCCACATCAAGTAAAAATATTGTAAACCTTTATGCATCAAACCCCCATCTCTATACAATGTTCAATAATTATTTCATTTCAAAGATCTAAACATCTGCACCATATCATACAAAAAATGATGGTACATCCCAATTCAAATATATTTTGATGTTTTAGTTGTAATTAATATTACAGAATTTATATTTTTTAGGATTTAATAGCTCTATACACTCCAACATGAGGAAAGGCTCCAGTATCCAAAGAAGGTGGGTTATCCAACAACTCTCTGAGAAAAGGTCAAAAAATAATCTGTGAGTCTGCCATGGACTAAAAATCAACTCTCAACAGTTAAAATCACACCAATAACCTGCTTCCTATCTGCTTCTCTAACTTTCGCTAGTGAACTATTTGTCCAATATACTTCTGTTTTGATTAAATTTGAAATAAAATAGTATTAATGTTAAAAATGTATCGAAAAGGAACTACTTACCCTGTCAGGAGGTAACAATGTATAAGGTGAAATAATGTGGCGATAGAGACAAGAGGCTACCATCTCTTTCAATTCGTTCACTAACACAGGGTGAGCACAAGGGTGGTACAGCATGACAACAGCACCATGCTGAAAAAATATTTTCTATTTATTGTGTAGGTATAATATTTAAAGTATGTAAATATTTTGGGCCATTATAAGTCTTAATCAAGGCTATAGATAAAATATGAATCATGAGTAAAACTTCAGGAAATAAGAGAAAATACCTGCAATAAACTAAACGAAACATATAAAGTAAATAAGATAGAATAAACAAGTGATAGTAAAAATAAAAATCTGGTGCTATGCGAGCAGCACACAACTTTCACTTACTATCCTAATTTGAGTAAAAATAGGTCTTTTCACCATTTGATGTTTTAATGTAAAAAAACATCTACGTCATTAGCGCCCATAATAAAGTAATACGACTATTATAAAATGTGTTAAAATGGTACAACATAATATTTTAAACAATTAATATATATGTTTTTCTCATCTAATATATTAAATTTATGCGTTTTTCGTCACTAACCGTTTCCCTTTACAACTGTTTATTTAATTATAGTAAATAATTAAGTGCCAAGAATTTTTTTTAGTCCGACAAGAGTGTCAATTATTCATTTGTTTCATTCTGAGTATATTTTTTGTTTAAACACTGTTATATATATAGATTTTAATTTTTATATAACTGTGATCTATACATTTAAATATTAAATAATACCAGCACTGTCATTTATGAAAACCTTATATGTAAAAGTAAATAATATAATCGGAACCCGTCCACCAAGCTTGAGGGCATGCTCCGGTTTCCTCGGCAGTTCTCGGCTCCTCATTATCACCGTATTACCCTGAGGGAGTACAAGTATCAATTCTTGATCCCTTGATATCATCTCTCATTTCTCCTTTAGTTCAAGATAAATTTTTTCAACATTTATATTTAACTATTTTTATTCATGATGTGAATTGTGAAATAGTTATTTTTCAGAACATACAAAATTAAAGGTACTTTAAAGGAAGACATTTACGCTCTGTTGGAGAACATCGATGAGGATATGGAGGAAATGAAAGTAAAAAGAGGAGTAAGTATGAATAAGAAAGGAATCTGGATAAAATTAACATAAAGGACTCTTATATAGAAATAACAACAAGAAATGTAGAGAAATATAATTAGCAGAAGCAAGGTAACGAAATGGGCTAATGTGTGCGCAAGATTACAAGTTGAAGTCTCAAGGCTTGCCTTGTTTAAATAATGTGGGCTTTTAACTCTAACATTAATCCTCTACCCTCTCTCCTAACCTGGGAAAAACCCAAAAAGGCAAGGTAGGAGAGAAAAAAAGAAATGTAGTTAGTGTTTTTCTTAAGCATGAGGGAGAGGATCCTACCCCAGTATTGGTTTTCATCACAGGAAAGAAATACAAAACATAATCCTTGTTTATTCCATTTTTATTCAATAGAAATTTGGAAAAAAAACAGCAGCAAACTATAACTGGACAAACATAATTAAAAGTGATGAAAATACAGACATTAATAACCCATATTTTAAAAACTAGTTAACCCTCTAAAATGTAAAACTCTCAGTAATCCAAATAATAAAAACCAAAGGGGTTTGGATTAGCAAAGATTCAAATTAACAAACAAAAAAAACTTTATTAATAAAAGGTGAATTTAAAAATATTTTTTTTTTTTACATTTATATTTGACCATTTTTATTCATTATGTGAAGTTATTTTTTTTTTTAAAACAAACAAAATTAATGGTAATTTAAAGGCAGACAGGAAATGTAAAAAAGAAAAAAAAAAAATTAATAAAGGTGAATGTAAAGATAAAAATCGTTTATTTATTTTTTTTACTTTCACTTACTTACATAAGAAATACAGTAAGGAAAACTATTGTGATCGTAAAAAAAAATTGATAGAAATACACATTTTGAGGTTAACTAATAATCAATTTTAAGAAAATGGTCTGTTGTATATATGAACAATTTTTTGTTTAGTTTTTATCTTAATAAAAATAAAACTTACTTCAAGATTATGCAACCACCGTTGCTTTGGAAGAAACGTATATTCACCATATTTAGGCCAGGCTGGACGATGTGTTCCACTAAAAAATTACTTTCTTAGTAGGATTAAGTTGAGACAAACATATTCAATATTTAAACAACATAGCATCTTACAAGGTAGGAAGATCTGTGGGATATTCCAGTTTTGTATTCATACAAGCATGCTTAGCCTAAGAACAATGAACAGAATAAGATAAAAATTATTATAAGTAAAATTATCAAAACAATGTAAATAAATAGATTTAATGAAAAATACGACTATCTACGATTACAATCATATATATTTTGTAACTGTGGAAAATGATACTTAAAGACAAATTTTATTTCCTTAATATAGCTATTTTATAACAATTGGTGTTCAGCTATGTTTCATCTTTTCTTTTCTTATTCCTAGAGTAAAATGAAAAAATAGAAATTTAAAACATTTTTTTTCTGTTCTTCCCTACCTCGCCTTTTAGGCTTTATGGGATTTATCTGGGCCGGAGGTTCAGGGCGGGGAATTTAAAATCCCCTCTGCCATTGGGACGTGAACTCTTACTTTTTTTAATCTCATATTCAGGTCATCTTATTGCCGGGCAACTCGTGGTTCTGTGCACACGCAGAAATTTAAAACAGATGTCTCATCCCTATTACTTTTAACTTTAACAAAAAATTAATTTATTTTATGTTACAAATACATTTTTTTAGAGTACAGTAATCCCTAAACCTTTGTGAGTGTTACACTCCGGGAAAATCATATGAATCTGAAATTGACAAATGTTGATACTATCTTTCTAAATACTTAATACATAAATTCCTGTATAAGGTTATGTAAAGTCCAATGAAGTCAAAAACATTTATTTATTTTTTATATAAATGTTAAGTACAGTACATACAATTGTATATGTTTATAAATTTAAATTGATTTTTTCTTACAGATTGTTAATGTAATATATTATCTGTGATTGTGCTTGCCTTCTGAAATTTAACACAAAGTGTCATTATGGTCTTAATTTTCCTGCCAAACTCCAAACTTACAGGAAGTAACTACTCTACAGTTTTTTGAACAAGTTACCATCAAAGGATTATAAGATCTGTACTCATTACTAAATTATGAGTACGTATAGGTTACCATGTCTTGTAAAATCAGACATGGCCCTACGTTGAAATGAGGTTTATGAAAATTCTCCCCAAGGTGACCAAATAATTCTTGAAACAATTTAATGTTTATATTTTTTGTAAACCTCACTCATATTCTTATATTTCTCATCAAATCAGATTTGTTAGGACTCATAGAAGATGTTGATTTCATAAACAGAAAACAAAACATCCAATTTTTCAACGGATTTTTAATCCATAAGACTTAAAAGAGAAACAACATGTTTATCAAATAAAAATGCATGTCCAATTGAAACTTAGAGTAGGTACTAGAGAGTAAACGCTTATGTTAATTTCCTATGATTAGAAAAATTAGACATGGCACAATGGGCACACATGGACATTACTTCCACAAATACTACATATAGTACTACTCCTGATAACCAAAGTATGGAAAAATATTACGAGTTCAAATCCTGGTAACCGGTAAGAATTTCAACTCGGCATAATTCCCACACCCTCTCACCAGACTGAAAAAACCCCTATGTAGCCTAAAAGGCAAAGAAGGGGAAAAACGAAAGAAAAAAAAATCGTATTTGGAATTTTAATCGAATATAGTTAAATACAATTTGCAAACGTGAAATTATACTTTTTTTCTATTTACATATAATAGAAATTCATGGATTTGACACTAAATATATAAATATTGAAGGATTACTGTAATATACCTAACCTACTGACGCTGTTCACACATTTCCTAATCATTGACCCATAGTTTAAACCATGAATGATAAACATTATTCAACTGTGAACAAATAAAAAATACAGCAAGTTTTCTTAGAATCAAAAGCAACATTCTATAGCATATACAACGATTTTTGATACCTGAGCCCTCCTACTTTTAAATCTTTTCATCATTTGACTTAGGATTTTTCTATGTTAAATATTGGTAAACCCAACTATATTCAAATTCTCAAAAATGACCTTAAATGTTAATTTGTTTTTGACAAGATTTAATTTTTTAATATAAATATCCAAAATTCACCAACAAGATTGGATAAAAATTATAAGTACAAGTTATTTCAAGACCTGCACCATCTGAAATTAATATAATAAATAAAGTAATAAGTGAAATTGAGATATGTTTTTAACTTGCAATCTTTATTCACACCTGTTAAAAAAATAATATTAATAATCAGTGAATTTTATGCTCTTGATGAAAAACAATTGCATGAGAGGTTTGAAAGGGAGGAGTACTCAGCGGCATCTCCTTGCATGCTATCTATATTAATATAAGGAAATTTATATTAATTGTTATGCAAAGAAGTCCCTCATCCAGGTCCTCTTTAACCTTCTACGTACAATACATGGCTTTTATGTTATAAAATTGATAATTAAAAAGTAAAAAGCTATTCATATATAACAATAGTTCATTAAATGGAAAAAATAAAAATAATAGCTCACTTTGTATGCTTTAGGTATAGCACTTTTTATAATGAGATTGGGGAGATCATGATTAGGCTCGAAGTAATTGTGTGGGTCATAACATGTGTAGTTCACCGGGTCTCCATCCCAATCCACGGTAAGGTTTGTCTGAAACAAAAAGTATAAAGTTTTAATAATATAAAAAGAAAAATTATATATACATATACATATAAGGGATGGTTGGTATCACAATTGAAAATTGAAAAAATATTACAATTGACTGATAGATATAAAAAAGTATCATTCCAACTTTATCTTCTTTAGCATAAGGTAAATAAGAAAGAATAATCAAAGGATAAAAGATTGGTAAGTTAAGATTTTAGGCTAGTAACAATTTTTTTTCTTAACTTCTAAAAACCTTCATGTAACTTTTCCTTTGTGAAATCCCAACATTATCCACTTACAATTAATGTGACAAATTTTGAACTGGTTATTGCAAGCAATGAAAATCTCGTAATTTCATTTTAATAAACTTTACAATGGAAAATAACAGTTTAATAACTAATAAGTGTATAATCCAAAATCATTTACTGATTGAATATACAGATATACTTTCAAATCTCTAGAGGCATATATATATATATATATATATAAATATACCTAAGGTAAGCAGTAGAAGCTCATAGAAAAATTTGCAGTGTTTATGGGGATGATGCTTTAACCAAACACACCCGTCAAAATTTTCATTCAGGAAATTTTGACATCAATGATGCTCAACGGTCTGGTCGCCCAGATGAAATTGAAATGAGCAATGTTAAGGCTATTGTTGATCAAAATCCCACCCTATCAGTATGAGAGATTGCTATGGCCCTAAAGGTGTTGCACACAAGCGAAGGAAACCCTTTGGAGAAGCTCGGCTACGTTTCCAGGTTTAATGTTTGGGTCCCTCACTCTCTAACCAAAGTCAACTTGGCAACACGTATTTCTGTTTGTGATTCACTACAGGAACAGCAACAAAACGACCCATTTTTGAGTTTGGTAACAGGAGATGAAAAACGGATATTTTATGATAATGTAATCCGTAGAAAATCTTGGGGACCTAGTAGTGAGGCTCCTAGAATAATGTCAAAACCCGGATTGCATCCAAAAAAGATAATGCTTTCCATATGAGGGATTTCAAGGGTGTTATTTTCTATGAGCTATTAGCATCAAGACAAACAATTGATTCAAAACAATACTGATCATAATTAACAAAATTGGATCAATCAATTAAAAATAAACGCCCATAACTGATAATTCCCCATTTGCCCCACCATCCCTATTCACCAGACCTAGCTCTAAGTGACTACCACTTATTCCAGTCTGTGCAGAACTCCATGAATGGAAAGAAATTCCAAAAGTAAGAGGACATCAAAAACCATTTGGATCAGTTTTTTAACAGTAAACTCCAGACATTCTATGAATATGGCATTATGCAGTTAGTGGAAAGATGGGAAAAGTCATATTAAATAATGATCAATGTATTGTGAATTAGAATAAATTTTATATTTATAATACATTGAGTGTTATTTCACCCAGAAAAACCGAAATGACTTATTTGCCAACCCAATACTTATAACTGCTAAGATGGTGATAAGTGAAAGTTGTGCGATGCGCCCACCGTACCAGATTTTTTTCCTGTTCTGCGAACCCTTTAATTGGCAAAATTTTGATAAGAGAAAAGCGTAAAATAGAAAAAATAAATAAATAAAGAGATCAATAATAACAACAAAAATAATCCACAGTAAAAACATAATATTAATCAATTCCACTTACCTTTCCATCGTCACATGTAGAATTTATCATCTGCCACATTGAATTAACTGGAGCTGCTTGAGAAGCTGGCTGCTGGACATTAGGTCGTGAAGTTATCCGCTCAGGCAACCACCTTCCAGTCCAACTCTCTTCTGGCCTAGACATTAAAGAATCGTTCCTTAGTTTTGTGGACAAAGAATATTTTATGCTAGGTTCAGATTCTTTATCATATTGTACAGATTTTAGTTGATCAGAAAGAGGAGTTATGGCAGTGGTACTCTCTGGTAACCATCTGCCACTCCAGGATTCAGGAGTTGTGTCAGAAACCAAGGAAGACAGTAAAGCCAAGAAATTTGTAATAGGATCCTTTTGTAGAACTGTTGAAGATGTAGTCACATTTTCTGGATTTAGAGATGAAAAAGAATGTTGCTCAGATTTAGAAGAATTAGAAGATAGTGCAAAAGGAACAGAAGAATTTAAGTTTCCAGGATGAAGGGCAGTAGTGGAAGGCAGTTCTGTTGGTGAACTTTCTGGAAGCCATCTGCCAGTCCAGCTCTCCGGATTTCTAAAGGAAAAATTCATGCACATTAGTTTGATGCAAAAATAAAATTATATGTTAAGATCAAAAGCTTTAGAAAATATATGAATCACTCATCACCATTAAGTATCTACACTCATAAACTACAATTTTTCAAGGGATATAAGTAGATTGTTAGAGTGCTTTTATAGTTAACAAACCTACAGCAAACAATCTGCTAGTCATTAATAAACAAAGTTATACTTATAAATTATACATGCCAAATTAACAAGTGCACTACAATATTTGCATTAATAATCAGAAAAACTACTAATCAAGATTAATTACCTTATTGAATTAAAACCATTTAATCTGATGATTGAATGATCAATCAGATGTCTGACAATATTGTTAATAATAAAATATTCCTCTTTTTTAACCTGGCAATTTCTTTATGTATTTTTTAAATATATTTTATTTTTGAAGTGGACCTAACTAGAAAATAGATTAAATGACTTTTCAATTTTAAGCCACAATGAAAAAAAAGAAAGAAAGGGATTGAATTGTTTCATTGCCTTTAAATAGAAAAATAAAAGCTTTGCAAATTATTACCTAATGGTTTATTAAATTCAAATAGTTATAAGTTCAATATGTATAGCGAACGACTTTAACTACTACACTGAAAAACATTTATACACTAAGATTAGGACGTTTAAAAATACTTATTTAATAATATATCTTTTTAATAAGTTATTTATACAATTATAAAAATTGTCATACCAGAATTAGGACTATACAGGTAGGTTTGAGATATAAATTTAAAAAAATCGAGGCAGTGCCTAAACTTATGAACCAATTTTAATGAAAGATGGCCTAAGTCTTCTCCTCAAAGAAATTTAAATTTAAAACTATGATAAATTTCACCCGAAAGAAGCCGGAAAAAATAATTACGATGCTAACATTGTGCATCCGAAAAATACAAAAAAGTATTAACTTTTTTATAGTTATTGTATGGTCTTTTGAAAGTATACTAAAATACTTAAAACAATCAATAACTAGAACACCAAAAAAAATCATTAAAATCGGACGATTTGGTAAAAAGATATGTTGTTCCAAATATTTACCAAATGTTCTAAAGCCGACCATTGTTTTGTCTTAAAGCAGCTGTATGACAGATCTTTCTTAGTACAGATTTCAATGAAAGTTTTTTATCATTTAGGAAATTTAAATGGCTTCAAAAAAGGTTTTGATCCAAAAAAATCAAAAAGTGTACCATTTTTGAATTATTCGCATATAAAGTTTTGTATTCATCCAAACCCCTTTTCTAGTCCTTGTTCGAGAAAGTACGTTGTATACATAAATTTATAGTGTTTCATAGGGAATACTTTAGGAAAGTATACATATATATATATATATAACTGAAGGATCTATATATAATTTTTATTTATTTATTAGTTATACATATTCCTGGCTCACAATAAATTTGCCATCTACATCTACATCGGTACATCGATACAGTGCAAATAGTCTATTATTTCTGAATCTAAATAGACAATAATTACAGCAGACCTTGTCTAGATGGGACCCTTCTGAATTAAACAAATCAGCTTTAAAATAATCATAATAAATGTTTTTGCATTTTTCTTATTAATCTCCTTCTTCAGCCTAATTTTATTTTCAATATTACATAATCTAAATGCATATCTTAGTTATCGATCAACAAACTTACATAGGGTTGGTAAAACAAGAAAAGAGATCTATTTGATTAATATTGAAAATTTATTTAGTGTACATTACCACAATATTACAAACAATTTTTCTGATATAATAACGCTAAATTAAAACTTTAAAATGAAATAAACTTGAATCTAAAATAAAGCAATGTACAGTACATAATGAAAACTATAATAATATATTTAGAAAAATAAAAAAAAGTTCATTATGTTCTTATAACCAAATGTTCAAAGCTCTATCTAATTAATTAGTTTCTTTGATTTCATCTAAATTAGATGTCCTGCTATATTAACTGGTTCATACTGTATTCATTCTAATTCTCAGAAATGGTGGTATCACTCTTGTAAAGTAACAAGAGTATTTAAGCAGTAATGACAGAAACAAAAAACAACCATCGAGAGGTTAATAACCGATTCAATGTGGTAATAAAACACTTATTACCTATTGAGTAATAAAACACTTATGGTTAGTTATTATTAATGTTTCTAAATCACCCATGAAAAAAAGTAAAACAAATGATTGATTTAAAAAAAAAAATCATATTTCCTAGAGAAAATAATTTTTCTGGATGAAAAACTATAGTAAAAAAATTATGAATATTTATAAAACCTTGGCAGACTTATTTAAATGCAATCACTTCTATTTGTGACAAAGTCAGAATATTTATGACTAACAAACACTAATATTTTCCAACTGCCTTTTTTTTTTTTTTAATGGATTCAATCCAATGATTAAATTATAAAAATCTTTCTTGAAATAATCAATACAATTATTAACTTATAAAAATGTTATAGGTTTAAAGTAGATCAATAACAAAATGGAAAAATACAACAGTAAAATCTGACAGACCAAGAAAATTTAAAAATTCTATTTTTCACAACATAAGGTAATTAATTATACTAATAAATCACGTGTCAAATGAACATGTTTTTTTTTTTTTGGTGGGAGGGAGTCCCCTTTTTGCCTTTTAGGCTACACAGAGTTTTTTCCTGAGGTGGGTATGAGGGCAAGGAGATAATGCTAAGTTAAAAGCGCCATCGAGCAACGGGATTTGAACTCGTAATTATCTGTTTATCTCAAAAATTGGTTATCAGGTTGTTGGACGACACACGGTGCTGTGTACATGCATTAGCCTGCTCGGCCACCCCGCTCCCTACTCGAGTCCTGACTTGATACATCAATTTACTTTGTAACAGCAATAGGTATAAAAAGTACATATATAGAACGTCAATGAGACTCCCTTAATTCCCTCTCCCCTATTTACAATCATGGGTAATACTAAGATGTTATACTTAACAAACTGACTATACAATAAAAAAAACCAATAGAAATTTCAAAAAATAAGTAACAGATTGATTTACAGTTATGAAGTGGAAATTTTACATTTTTAAAAAATAGTATACAATCTACTGATTATCAGAAAACAGTAGATTAGTTTAAATGGAAACTTAGGTTTGAAGAATGTTTCTTGGGTAATCAAGTTCAAAAGTAAGAGGGAGAATGTTAATATGTTATTATGAATTAATTAAATTTATGAGATGATAACATCCTGACATTAAAAAGGATAAATTCATTAAACAACTAGCATGCAAGTATAAATAAATATAACAGACAAACACTTAGAAGAATAGTTTCAGGTCAATATCCATGCACCTCTATTTTCCACAAAACCCTGATAAGGGCCGTTGTGGGATTGATTCTTGTTAATTTTAATTGATTCTACAGAAAGAAAAACTACTCTAACAATTACAATATTATATCAAACAAACTAATTTATGGAAATGCTGAATTCAAATTATAGTAGGATAATATAAAAGAAAGTAAATAATTTATAAAGTATTCTCATAAAATCACCAAATATAAATTAAAGTTCAAATTTTACCTACTTCGTATTCATAGCTTTCATATATGCAGAAAAATCCTTCTTGGCAATATGACCAGGATAATTTCCTAGGAAATCATAATTAGTTCATGAAAATTGGTGTTGACACAGTACAATATGTTGGATATATAATAAATGATCTAGTAACTTACGCTTAATGCCCAAAAAATTCGATGAATATGGGTAGGCATATTGAATACTTTCTACAGAATCATATACACAAAAATAAAAAATAATATTGACATACAATGTATGTAAATTCCACCATCGACCTTTCATGTTGTTGTCAACCATCGATTGCTATCTTGCTGTAAGGTTATAAAACCAAAGACATGCCAAACTAGTATCTTATTTAATTTGTCAAGCATGGATTCTTGATATAAAAGCTTTGGAAATATTTTATTTTTGAACTATTTTAAGAGACTGGTGTATTGAAATTAAATTCACTACAAATTTAATCAATGTGAAGGTCCTAGATTTTTAAAGATGGTTTTCAAAACTCATCAATACGATTTATTTCAAATAAATAAATCATGGTTCAGCTATAATTAAAAGTATATTAATAAATTAGGTCAACACGCCACAATACCGAAAAATTATATGGTATTAATGAGATCAAAAATAATATTGTTTTCTTTAAATATTATAAAATTCGCGCCGTTTTTATGGCGGCCACTTATGTTTGAAGAGGAAAAATCATACATAAAAACAAAATTATTTTATAATTAAAATATATTGCAGTATTTTTCTTGGTAATAGTTTACATGATGCCCGCAGCTTTTTGGGCTGGAGTGGGGGCGCTTATCCTCAATGATAGTTCCTGGTTAGGTTAGATTACCCGCCTAGCAGTTGTTGCCCCCACTACTCTTCTCCTTTCCCCTACTTTTTGAAATTCCCGCGACTACCCACCACCCTGCACTTCAAGTTAATTTTTGACAGTATCCAGTTCCTAGTTCCTCTACATACATATTTTTTTTTAAATCCTACCATTCTCCCACCATCATCAATTTCCAGTCATTAATTTCATTTGCATTTAATCTTCAACTGTTAGTTGTTATTTCATTTCTGGTGTCAGAAATGATTTTGTTCAGTTTCATTGTTAAAAGATATAAATGAAATAATAAATAGTTTAATAATGTTAAAATATATTGAAAATAAAAAAACAGCAATGTTTTACTTAAAACAACTACACAATTCTATTAATAAAGACTTTGAAATGGGAGAAATACCTAATAGCTTTTATTTATCCATCATATTCTCTGTTCATAAAGTAGAGGATAAGAATGACACAATGAATTACATGGGCATCAAGTTTGAAAACCCAATAGTTAAATTATTGGCTTACTCATTAATATCCAATAACTAGTTAAAGAATATAGGCAGCATTTAGGAAATATTATTCTATTAAAATCTTACTTATTATAATTATCTTAAATTTGCAGAAGAAAGACAATAAGGCACATGTTATACTTTGTTTGATATATTTTGCTATCTGCAATTATTATAGAACTAAACATATAGTTACTATAATTCCACACTATTAACACTACTAGGCATTATATTACAAATTGTAACACAGGAGTATCAATCAAAATTGTTAAAATAATAATGAGCTTAAACCTTAAACAAGCAATGAAGTCAATAAGGATTGACAGAACTCCTTGAAATATTATTTGGGATACAGTATGGGAATAATGTATATTATTGTAAACATTAAAATTGTATATCACATAATAAAATGTTATTATTATTAGGGAATAATTGAATAGGTTATTTTAAAAAATGACACATTTATACCACTTTTGAGTTGAGAGCTGTTCAGGGTGCATTATTCGCAGAAGCATCTTTTAGTAACAGAAAACACATTACATAACTAATGTAAAGATTGATTGTTTATCCATACATTTGTATCTTAAAAATAGCACATTTGTCATTTCACAAATAACCAATTTAATGTTAGTATATTTCTTTTCAGTGGGTACATTAATGATATAGAGGATTGTGTTGCAGGAGGAGTGAATGTCATATCATTAGGATAGTGTGTACTTAAGCCTTCATTGCTTTTATGCCAGATAGACTTCAACTTATGATTATAGATTTATAAAACTATTGTGATTAATGGAATTTACATTTAATCGGGAAGAGTTTAAAATGATGATATTCAGAAAAGGAGAGAGGTGTAGTAGTCCGGGAGGACCCAAGTTGCTTCTAGTCGCGATGCGATGGTGGGAAAATACTTTCTCAGGGTTGCTCCTTTTGGAGTTGTCAACCACCCCCAGTTCCACTCTTCTACTGTATCCTCCCAGATAATCCTTTTTTAACTCCTACGATCTTCTTCTATTTTCACTTGGAGATACTATGGACACCGTCCTGTACGATCTGGTGACTTGAAGCAGAGCCATTTTGACTCCAGGCAGGGGCTACTCAAAATAAAACCTTTATAAATGCTCACAGTTTCTAGGCATCTGAGACCCCAAAAGGTGCCCTCTATACAACTGAATCTGTTAAGAGCTATGGTCACTCTACTTTTCAAATAGTCCAAATAAGCTATCACTTCGAACTTTTTTCAAATCTTAATGTTGAGGTAGGTGACAACCTCACTCGGAGGTATTGTTGATCTTTGATCATTGCATAACAATCATTTAAAGAAATTCTTCAACAAATCATAATTTATCTCTTTAAAAACTTATCAGGAAAATTCACTTAAATACAAGGATTTTTCTTTAGTACACTACATGAGCACTTAATACTTAATTAATTATTTATTATAAAAATTACTTACACCATTTTTGCAACCAGTGCTTCTATGTTACAGTTTCAATTCATAAAAATTGTTGTATTCTTAATTTACGTGTAAAGTCTTCACAGAAAACTTAATAGAATTAAGAAATATGGAAATTAGAAATTACCATATTACAAAAATTAACCAAGAACACATAAATTTAGAAAAACTCTTGAATCTACACAAACTATAAAGAATATTTTTAAAAATTAGTGCTTTACTTCTTAATAAATAAAAATTCTACTTTATTAAATGGAATAAATACCATGGGTCATTCCTTTCCATATCATACAGGGGTGGGTCAGGACACCCAGTACAGTTTTTAATGAAAATTTTATATTTAGGAAGCGAATACACACATAAGAAAAAAGTGTCAAATTTTACCTACTTATAATAAGCAGTTTCATATTTGAAAGTAAGAGATTCGAACTTTTTTGGAAACAAATTTGAGCTGGAACTAGCATGTTTGCATCTTTGCTTCTCTAAGCAAAGTAGTATTTATTGAACTAAATTCTTGAAAATGTATTCATTTGTTCTAACATGTTTGGAGAATTGGATGATACCAAGATTAAGATTTTCCTAGCCTATAATTATTTTTGATATAAAAAATGAAAATAATTTCAAAGTTGAAATACATGATTGGAAAAATATCTTTATCTAAAGTCTATGCAGATTATTGAAGATGAATGAGGTTCTATTGAAATTTTTTCTGTATGCCCTCCCCTCTAGAAAAATAACCAAAATTATCCTTATCTTTTTCCCGTAATATTTTTTCTCAACTCTCTCATTCATTACGCTAGTTCAATTAGTAAAATATATTAATTAGTTCAAACTTTCCCTGTACATCTATTTAAGGGGTGCCCATCCCCTCCAAGGTCGATGGCGCATGAACCATCCCCCTCTCTCCAAAAATTGTATTTCACTCCCCTTCTTAAAAGCAATGCAAGCGAAAGTAAGATTAGACAATTCCAAGATCATATACAATTATACCTGGAGTGGTATGTCCCATGTTTCTTCCCAATTCTCTGTTTTGAAACTTTTCACTCAAAAATTCAAAATCCAGTCAACATGTGCCTCCTTAAAAATTTTGATGGCGCAACTTGTGGCATGAAACTCCCTTCTGGGCACCCCTGTTAAGGGACACAGGCAGACTAAGAAATGAGGGTTGTAAAAGCAACATCATTATTTACTTTTAAGGTTCTTTCTGTGGTGTAAGAATAGATTATAGAAAGAATAATGATCCAAAGTTTGTTCAATGTAAACAACGAATTCTCTGAAGTATATTTTGTGCTCCACAGCAAAATGAAACTAGTGAATAGAGAAATGAGACGTCTGAAATTACTGTAATTTTTCAGATACGGAAAACCTAACTAAGCCCAAATGAAAAATTGAGAGTTAAATTCCAAATGATATTGGTTATACCACTTCTTTACATATGGGAACTCAATTTTTCAAGTTTTAGTGACTATTTTACCTTAATTTTTCTACATAAAAGGGATTTTTTTTTCCGGTCTTGATCTTGCAAAAGTGCATGACCAAGACTGATTTTGGACAACACCAACTATTATAAATCCACTATTATTACAAATTTAAATAGTTCAAAATTTGATCCTCGATCAACAGATTCATTTCTGATCATTGATATAAAATATTTTTTATGAAATGGTTTACCTCTTACCATAATGTAGATATTGCATATTGCATCTAAAATAGAAAAAGTTGTTCATTTTACTTTTAAGCCTGGTGGTAGGAGAGTATTTGTTTCAGAGTGGTATAACTTAGTTTTTGTATAATTTGAAAATTTCTATTTACCAATATCAATACACCTGTTATCATTGAAATGGAATAATAATCATAATATGATAAATTGTAATAATGTTTGTCACACCTGAATTTTCCATTAGTCCAGAATATAAGCTTTCCCTAGTTTTATTTATTTTTCAATACTTTTTTGGGAAATTAGAGGTTGTTGGCTATAATATATTTTCAATTTTATCACACTAGATATACCAAGTAAAAATAACTAGTAGTGAAACATAAAACTGTAAGGATAAAATACAATCAACTATCAATTGATTGAAAAAATATCCAAATTAACTTGAAATAGAAAACATTTTTAATCAACAAAGGAATAGAAAAAACATTAGATAAAACAGAGAATATTTATTTATTTACAAAGGAATTTCAATTTATAAATGCTGCACATATACATTTACAGATTTACTGCTAAAAATAGACATATGAGAGAAATTCTTTTTACCAATTGAATTTATCCTAAGTCTAAATACAATAAACCCCTTAAGAATCCTTGTCATTATCTTTAATAATGTGACAATTAATTATGTGTTCTTCATCAACAGAACTCATTTTGGTAATAAAGGAAGAAGATGGTCCGGGGTTGCGCTCATAAATAGGCTAAATAGTGGTAAAACTATTTTATTGAAAGCCGACGTTTCGACCCGACTTTGCAGGTTTTCATCAGGGCTACGGTTACTGACTAGTCCAACTAAAGTT